GGAGGCGCACCGGGCACGCAGCGACCGCTTAGCGCCCCCGCCCCTCGCCGTCCGGGCCACCGGCCGGGGTCTGCGGGGCTAGGGGTGACCCTCGGCACCAAGCGCTGGGCGAGCGGGCGACACCGAGGCCATGACCATGGCCACCGTGGCGGTTGCGTCTTCTTTGGCCCTCGGGGTCTCGAGCCCGGCGGCCCCCAGCTCCTACGGGGTATTCTGCAAAGGGCTCTCCCGCACCCTGCTCGCCTTCTTCGAACTGGCCTGGCAGCTGCGCACGAACTTCCCGTACTTCTACGTCGCGGGCTCCGTGATCCTCAACATCCGCTTGCAGGTACATTTTTAGAGACGTGATTATGCTAACGGTCCCCGGGTCGGCACCATGGCGGACTCCCAGGAGGTCCGGCGGCGGAGCCGAGCGGAGCTGCGGAAGAGGCCTCCTCAGTCTCGCGAGAGTCCCCGGGCGCCGTCCGCGGCCGCCCTCGCCGCCCCCGCCGAGCTCCCGGACGGCCTCAGAAACCGCTGGGACTGGAGAGAGGACGGACGGCCGTCCTGCGGCAACAGTGAAGAATTGAATTCAGACCCACAGTGTTTAAGGGGCTGTGCGTCCTTAAAATTAGAGCGAAGAAGGGTGCATTATAAAAAAATGTGAAGGCTACTAAATTTTTCAGGAGAAAAATGCAAAATACAAGTTCATGGTTCAAATTAAAATAAGAAATCATAAATTCCGGGAATATTGGATTGAATCGTAAGCACGATATTGAATGAGTAAGAAGCTGAAGATCTTAACGATATGATGTGGAAGGCGTGTGTTTCTCCATCCCACAAGAGAAAACAGTGACAATCAGAAATTTTCCAGTGAGGAAAAAAACAAAAACTGTACAGGAAAAGCGTCCTTCTGATATCAAACAACGTAAAATCCTGCAGGATTTTGAACGGAGGGTTGGCGTGTAAGAAAGCGGACTGTATTTCAGTGTCCCCGTGTGTAGCAGGGCTCACGACCTTGGTGCCAAACAGAAGGAGATCCAGTTACTGCCCAAATCTTGACCTTTTGATGAATGCCATTTAAATAATTACAATAATTTATGTAAATGTTGTCTTTAGTCTTTTTCTTTTAAGAGAATACTTAATTATGGTTACAAAGTAGAATACAAATGTCACCCTCGATCATGTAAAACTCCAGTTTTCAAGTGGGGATGTTGAAGGGAGGCGGTGGTGCCTTTATAAAGTGGGAGGTTGAAAGATGCAGTTTATGAGGGAGTAGCCACAGTTTTGCTAAACTAGCAATGGTACTGTATTAAACAGGGAGGAGAGTAGAAGAGAACAGCAGTAAGAAAGAAATGCCTAAAGATGCAGAGTCAGGTGGAATGTCTCAGAAAGAAAATCTGAGAATACCGGGTATATTCGAATTTGGAGTCAAGAGGTTTTTAGGGTTTCAGGGAGTCTGGAGATGAATTAGTGGGCTGCAGATTTTTTTTAAATAAGAAAACAAAGCTGAGGCAGTAATGAACCCCAGCAAAAATAAAAAGTTGTTCAGTAACTACACTGTGTACCTCAGCTGTGAATACTGCTAGTCATAAAGTCATAATAATGTGAACATTGAATATGAATATAACAAATAATTATGTAACATTGAGAATCAGTCAATAAAAAAAGTATTGAACATGTTATTTAAAAAAAAAAAAAAGCTGCAAAAAGAAACAAGAGTAAAAAGTGTTTGGAGAAGAAAATCAAGGATGGGTAGAGAAAAGGTGGAAGGTTGCTATTTTCCTCTACCAGGCTAACAGTATTATTTTGATTTTTCTTTATATGTTTATTTGTTTGATTAAAAATTAATTTACGTTTTAGCTTTAAAATTGCTCAGGTAATTGAAATGTACATGACTGGTAAGAGCCACCAGAGTAAAAGGATTGGGTTTTTAAATCAGCAGACCTCTTAAATGCAAACTCTAATTTTGTAGTCTTAGGTCAGTCCATTAATCTGCAAAAGCCCCAGTTTCCTCATCTATTAAATGAGGGTAAAGTACCCACCGTGTCAGATCAGTCTGAGAATTAAAAATAAGCCCACTTTAGTGTACAATAAACGGTATTTGTTATAACAGAATATCTCTATATGATAAAACTTAAAACTCATTCATGGAATGCCTGCTTTTCCAGTAGAGATTTCCCGGGTGTGAGGAAGAGACGCCAAGATTTTAGGTGAGACATTTGAGCTGAAAGGAGCCATTATTTGCTAAGGTAAAGATTTAAACTATTTGCAGTGTTCTGTATTTCCACTAATTATGTCCAACAAACAAGTATACTCCAGGGCTATAAAATAAGCACGCCATCCAGCACCCCGTCTGGATTTGGGTAATTGATCTTCCTCTCGTTGATTCCTCGTCTCCAGCTAAACTATTGAACACATCCTCTTCTTTCTACTTACACTTCCTTCTGCCTTCGGTACCCTTCCTGCCCATCCTACCCCACCCCAGTGGTTGCTCTGCCTGTGTTTTAAGGCTAAACTGAGATGTCACTTTTTCCCAGATTCTTCTGATCAGATTAGAGTTCATTTCTTTTACTCCATCTAAGGGCTGTGTTTATATCAATTTATGCCATTTTCATGGGCTGCCTTATTTTTGCCTAATTATTCATTATCAGATATTTTTTAATATCAAGGAAGACAGATTTCTATAACCTCTTCCCTTGGTAATTACATATTGCTGTGATAGAGTACAGGAACTAAGATATTTTAGTCTAAAATATAAATGTAAGTTGATCACTATTCCCTAGAGGCACTGATGTCTCAGTTTGTAACATGAAAGAAAGTGATTGGCGTTAGCCCTGGAATGGTAAGATACAGAGATGGGAATTTGGGCGGCGCTATGACCATGTGCCCTCTTTTTTCCTTTCTTTTTTCCCCCCTAGCATGTGTCCTCTTCAGCCTTGTTTCTTCAGACTTCTTCTATTACACTGAAGAAACTAAGGCACCTTCACAGACTAATTATCATTCCTCCAACTAGATTTGAAGCACTGAGGGTGGAGATACTGTGGTATATAGCCCGGAATATCAGCAGATATATAGTAGGAACCAAATGAAAGGTCCTTGATTTAACTGTTCTTCACAATTGCTCTTAAACCTAGATGTGTATTTTGCTTCTCACATGATGCAACTCAATGAAGTTTCCCAGGGGAGAAAACAATATTTTTGTCCTGACTAAACCAATTATTCTAATTTACGAGTAATTTTATTCCTCTTGACATCCTTTCAGGTAATATCTATGAAGCCAAAGATTTTGTTTGTTCATTGCTCTATCCCCACCCTAGAGCATTAGCTAATGCAAATAGGGTGGGTATAGATAATAAATATTGTTGAATGAATGCCAAATTAGTTGGTTTTTCTACAAATCGTCATTAGTCAATAAAGGAAATAAAGATATATTTGCCCCTTACAGTAAGGTGACCCACTTTATTGCCCGTAAGTTGAGCGTTTTCAGTCCATCATGAGTATTGATTGGTCCGGAGATTCTTCAAACGTGACAAAGCAAAGAGGTAGTGTAATTCTGACCAATAAAAAAACCAAAACTTGTTTATGAAGTATAAGTGATAGAAATGATGGGGAATAGCGACTGTTAGAGTTTAACTATAAACGGGAAATAGTGATCATAGTAACATACAACTTAAAGGTTAGGGAACATGAATTTTTTTAAATTGAGGGTAAGAACACGTGTAATTGGTTCAAAGAGCATATCGCTGTCCGCATTTTTTTCATTTTGTTGAGTTTTTAATACCAGGAACTATGAAAGGTTATATTCTCAGTCTTCACAACTCTCATGTATATCCTATGATGAAGACATTTTCATCATTACTTTTCAGATAATATTCATTATGATTTGATGTATGAATTCAAGTATTATATACTCTGCTGCCTAAAGTCATTTGGCCTATTTGTAGGGGAGAGGAAGGAATGGGGTGGAGAGACACAGGAAAGCTTCTTTTCCCTTAGGATGGAAAGGAGTAGAGATCAAGTAATCTTGAATTTTTGAAGCTGTGCCCATCACTGAACTGAGGAGGCCTAACTAAATTGGTTACAAAATCTTATAGTCTTATTTTAATGGAGGCTTTTCCTGGTGGACCATCAGTAGCACGTGACAGAGTCAAGAAGAAAATAGGACTTGCTCATGGAGACGTAAAGGCATGGGAATGGAAAGTTTAGGAATACAGGGGCAAAAGGAGAGGGAGAGAAAAATTCTAATGCCAGAAACTTTGAACCTGGAAAGTAGTCTGAAGAGTAAACTTAGAAGTTTCAGGCAAGTAGATCAAGAAAAGAACCCCTGCAATAAACCATCAGAATCCCCAAACAGTTGGGTTGGATTAAGTCACATCAGTCTATTTCATGGATGGCCATGAGTGTGGAAATTTCTTGCAGTTTTTACAAGAACACTTGATAGCTTATTGCACAGCAGGATTACCACCAGGCCAGGTCATGAATCTTTTTGCAGTTGAAGTCAATGCCTTCTCACCCCCAACCCCCATAAATACAAATCTCAGCAATGTTCTTGGGACAATTGAAAAGCCAAAGAACATTCTTGAGTGCCCACAACAAATGAAAAGAAGAAACTATGGAATTCCTAGTAGTTTAATTGCAGTACATCTGAGGGTACTCCTAGTTTCTGTCCAAACTAGAGATCAGTAGCAAACATCAGAAACTTTTGGCCATTCTTAATGGTTTTCAAGCACCAAGTATGTGGATTTATTCACAGTAATGCAGTGGAGTGCATCAAAGAACAATAAACAGGAATGTAGGTCATTCATATATTGAGTGAGGTAGATTGGGTATACCTCTATATAGGAACCAAAAAGAGGAAAAATAAACCACACAACTAAAAGGCAAAAATCACTAATGAAATACTTTACCTAGAACATCTTGGCTCTGAAACCTTTGGCGCAGTAATAGAGATTGTATCTAACAGATAAAGAAAGAAAAAGGTATTTAATTTGCAAATAGAGCTGTTTTTCAAGAGACTATTTTAGCTTTTTAATAAAAAGAAAACTTTGAAAGCAACTTAAACTGAAGTCAAAGAGGAATATAATTAATTAAAGCCTTAAGATTCAAAGGTCAGATTAGCTCTATATGAAAGGGAAAAGAAGTTATTTTTAAAACCAACTCATTTAAACATGGGGCTAAGGAATAGAGGTGCCAATATACAAGTTAAGATAGTGCCTCCGTCTTCTGAAGCTATATCTCCATTGCCTTCTCCCAAAATTGCTAAAATTGAAAATAGCCCATCTGTCATCTGTGATTTTATTTATTCATTTATTTTTCAAAAAATAATCCCCCCTTCCAAAAAAAATATTGTTTAACTTTTTTCTAAATTTAGCAAACCAACCATCTGATCGACTTTTTAAATGAAGGTTTATTCTGGGCAATCCAGCTCAGCGTAGATCTCTATGGACAGCATTAACCACTATCATAAGTGAGTGGATGGTGTAAGTAAAGGTTTTGCAGATGGCCCCGTTTCTGCACTTCAATGAAGGAAGCCCCTAACTCAGAGGACATGAGGTTTAATCAAGAGCAGCTGACAAAATTACCTGAACTATGAGAGATTCAACATTATTACATTCTTTGAAATCTGTATTGATCCATGTATATTCCCACCGAGACCTTTTCTTTCAGTAAAGTTCAAGACAACATGGCTTGAACGCTAAAATACCTTCTCAGCTGAAGTTCTAGGCACTCAGGCATAAACCTCTTTTTAGGTATTAGAAACTAGTTATTTACCACTCTCCTGTTCTCAGGTGTGGGCAAACTGAAAAAAAGAAAATTCATTATTTCAAAACTATAAAAAGTTTATTTTAGAAGGAAGTAATTCACAAAGCAATGGCCATTATTTTTCCAATAACTTGGTCTCAGAATAGAATACAGTTCTCCCCAGATCGCATGGGACTAGCTATGGATGTGATAGCTGTGGCTTTTTTTGGATCATGGCTGAAGTCTCTAACACTGGCTCTTGCTATGGAAAGGGGAGGCACAGAGCTTAATCTCAAAATGCCAGTTTAATAGGGAGAATGCAATACATCAGTAGGCACTGCCCAGCCTATTACTCCGACTTCATCTTTTAATAGTCATTTTCTGTGCTACTATTATTAGGAATAGGCCTTTGCTTCTTAGAGCTTCATCTCCAAAATTAGTACATGAGACGTGAGAATTTACTCCTGATGAGACGTTTACTGCCAAATCCTACTCATAAGAAACAAGGGCTGTACGTAGTTATTTAAATCTTTTTTTAAAAATCTTGGTCATTGGAGAAAAGTTTAGTAACATTAAAATGTAAATGTAAAAACTAAAACTAAATATGCTTGCTCCTAATAAGTACAAGGTAATCTTTAACCTTTTTTCTGAAAGGGATACTTTCTAATCCAAACTATCCTCAATGTCTGAACCTGTAGCCATTAGAATTCCACCTCTCCTAAAGCAAGATAATCTAAAGCAAGATAATCATTAGAAAATTTCTTTTTATTTTTTTCTTTCAGTTTTATAAGATATAATTGCCATACAGCACTGTGTAAGTTTAAGGTATACAGCATAATGACTTGACTTACATATATTGTGAAGTGATTACCATAGTAAGTTTAGATAACATCCATCATCTCATATAGATACCAAAAAAAAAGTCTTTTTCCTTGTGATGAAAACTTTTAGGATTCACTCTCTTGGAAACTTTCAAATATACCATGAAACAGTGTTTATTATACTAATCATGTTGTACATTACATCCCCAGAACTTACTTGTCTTATAACCTGAAGTTTATACATCTTGACCACCTTCATCCAATTCTCCCACCCCACTCAGGAAATTTCTTATACAGTGCCCAACATAATGAATACAATGTAAAAATCTAAATTTTTTTTTTTTTTGTACAGTGTAAGATTTTTATATTTAGAATTAGCCAGCTGGACTCAGTTTAGATGATCCCAATTTTGTTGGCAACATCCAAAGCCTCATAGTCAGGAGCCAGTCGAACATATGCCTTCTTCTGTCCATCAGGCCTGATCATGGTGTTGACCTTGGCCACGTCAATGTCATAGAGCTTCTTCATAGCCTGTTGGATCTGGTGCTTGTTGGCCTGGACATCCACAATGAACACAGTGTATTGCTGTCTTCTGTCTTCTTCATGGCTGACTGTAGTCAGGGGGAACTTGATGATGGCATAGTGGTCAAGCTTGTTTCTCCTGGGTGCGCTCTTCTGAGGATATTTAGGCTGCCTTCGGAGCCTCAGTGTCTTTGGCTGTCAGAAGGTGGGTGACATGCAGATCTTTTTTTTTATGGCTGTGGACGCCTTTCAGCACTGCTTTCTTTGCCTTCAAAGCCTTTGCTTTGGCTTCAGCTTTGGGAGGGGCAGGGGCTTCTTTCTTTGCTTTTGGTGCCATCTTTGTAAAAACTAAAAATTTAAGTCTTCATGAAGATCTGGATATACATGTGTTGTCATCATCATCATCATGGATACAGCAGAGCACCCCATAGCACACTTCCGTAGAGTAAGAGTATACTTTACAAAACCCTTAAGGTTTTTCTTCCCAGCATCAGACTTTTCTTCCCATCAAAATTAGTTTATAATCCACATGTAGTCGACATTTATTTTCTAGTTTGTTTTTGTTTGCTTCTACCACTGAAATATGGCAGTTGTAAACCCTAGCAGAGGTTTCTTCATTATTGATAGTTTAATGTTTACAATCATAATATCTGAAGTTACTATATTGCAAACTATTATATTCAAAATTATATCATTAGAAAGCACAATTTTACTACCTGCTGGTTTTAAGATTATACATTTTCAGCTACTTTGATTTCATTTCAATAATTTTATTTAAAAAGTCAACTCAGCACTATATATACACACAAACATTTCTAAAATGTATACAAATACATGCTTTCTTGTAAACTTTCTGTTTTTATCCCTGGTGAGTTGGTCGTGTTTTTCCTCTCTGACAGGAGACACTAGTGTTCATATAATTTTTACATGCACACATACCCTACACACAAACTCAGTGTTAGGTGATCTTTGTAGAGTAGACATATAAGTATTATACACATAATGATAATTCAATTTCCTTTTATAAATTTAGTAGATTTTACTCTTACTCTGCAAAGCTAGTGTCTACTCTTGCTTGGATTCCTAATGATAGTCTGCTTCTGCATTTTAAAAGTTATGTCTGTTGTATGAGATTATGTATGCCTAGCATTTTTATTCCTTGATTGATTTTAATTTATTATAAAAATATTTCACTTGCTTCAGCTTGGAAGGGATTTTTATTTCTAAATAATTGTGTGCTTTCCTCACATATAAATATAATAAATATTTGCAAGGCCATATAAAATTAATGTTGCACTATATATTTTATATTCATATTATCTCAAATACTTTGTTACTAGCAAGTGTTATAATGACAATGATGCTTGCCTTTAAAAAAATGTTGAGTAGATTGTTAGATTATAGGCCATTCTAGGAAAAGTTTGTGATGCTCAATCATATCCAAAAGAATCCAGTGAGAAAAACAGAAGTTAAAATGGATCTTCAATGATTTGATTCTCTTGGAATATAGAAAATTCTGGTGAAGTCTATGCAGCTAAAGGTTTCACCCTTTTCAGGTGGCACTTAAAGTGCCACAGTAGTCCCAAGGCAGTTTGTCTTAGCTTGCTGCTTCCCAAAATTAGGATAAATGAGTGGCCTGAAGGAAAAATAGTCCATGTTAACATAACAGCCAAACTGGCCTGCTTTGTCCCCACTATGAGGAAACACCAACCTGTTAATACGATGGAGAAAAAATGTAGTATGGAGAGTAGGAGGAAAGATAGCACCATTTTCATGGCCCTTTTATGGGCCTCTGTGCTGAAGTCCTTAGAGCTGGAGTTAATCCGTGCATTCCTGGTATGTCTCATCAAGGAGAGAAATAAAAGGAGCAGTGAACTCAGAGACAGAAGAAGGGGAATTAGGTAGATAAAATTAGAAGTAACAAAGCTGTTAAGATACAGAGTTTCCCTTGCACCTGAAGACCATGTTGAGTTTCTTTCATGTGTATTATAGACTTTAATCCAGAAACCATTGAATGACTCTATTAATCCAAGTTGCAAAAACAGGAGGAACAAAGATCCCAGTGGAAGCACAAGTAGCACTTTGCCAATTCTCCACCTCAGCCAGACAAAGCAGGGGTGGGAGAAATTGGCTATTTTAAAGAAATAGAAAATGCTTAGACAGGTGGCAAACCAGGTAGCTAGGTGATTGGACAGGCTCCAAAGAATACCAGTAAGTGTTGCTAGTTTTTCACTGGCATATATATGTGGCCGCAACACCATGAGAAATGATTCAGTTAGTGTTATCCAAAGAAGGGTGATTCTGGAGAGAGCCACACTGGCGAGGATATAGTCAGTTGATGAGAGCTTTTTGCTCTTCACCCAGTTGATGCAGTTAACCAATACAATGAACCCATTCCCCAACATTCCAATTACGAATTCTCCCATTGCAGCTATCAGAAAAGTATTTTCAGTTCCAGATGGCATTTCTGTAGAAAAAGTCCAGAAAGCTAATATTATGTTTCACTGATTTTTTGCTGTCAAAGTGTTGTAGAATAATATCCAGTCTGATACTTTTCACTTTTCTATTAAAAATGCTCCAGAAAATTCAGATACTGTCTCACTGATCTTCTGAAAGATTTCTCTTTTATTCCAGCCCTAGGTCTGGACAATTCAATCTCGCAGATCTTAATGAGAAACTTTACCATTACTTTCACTCAGTTACTGATTTCCAAATTAAACAGTAAATGTTCCCACTCGTCATTGGCACTGGCAACAATTTTCCACCTGTGAGGACATCTGGAAAATAAAGTCAGTTATGCAAATATGAGACAGATTTCCTTATACTGGTTTGTATTTTCCTTTTCAGTGGAAACTCAATACTACTTGGGTTCAGGTTTCTTAATTTTATTAGCTTTCTCTAAAAATCTCTATAATACAGGCATTATTTATTAATTTCATATGCTAAACTCCATATTTTAGACACTGTTATAGATGAATTAGTATAATAAAGGGAAGCAACATGAAGGAGCTCACAGGAATGGGAAAAAGCAACATTAGATAAACTATTACTATTGAATGTGACAAAACTGACTGCAAATTGGAGTTACCCAGGGAGCTTTAAGTATATAGTATATAGACTGTTAATGCCTGTGAGGCACCCATAGGGATTCTGACTTAATTAATCTGGACTATATTATTGGCACTCATTGAGAGCTCCTTAATGTGTGCTTTACAGTGCCTCCTAAACCCTGGCAAAAAAATCTACCCACAAGCTGCAACTCTGAAGATTCTCCAGGAACAGGGCAGGATTTTGACCACTAGTCCTCTTACAATGTATTCCCCATTCAGCCAACTTTGACTCTGGTTGATAAATAACCTGTTTCATATTGGTCTCAGCCTACCCATAGTGATGCTCTCATGCCTGAGGCACTCACCTGGACCCACACTACCTGAGGGAGCCCCCAGGCATTTATTCACCTGAGCCACTGCTGTAGGTGGACCAGCCCTTGTGTTTCTTGTGATTGTGAGGCCCATCTCAGTGACAGCCATTGTGGAATTGAAAGAACAAGATTTATTACTTAACGAGTTCTGGAGAGTACACAGCACACCCAAGGCCAGACATGGAAGTCATAGGTAGAGAAAGAGGGAAAGCACAGACTTGGAGTTCTGCCTTTATTGGGGTTGAGGGTGGGGTACCAAGGTTTCACAGGTTTACTCTTTATTGGTAAATTTAAAACACAAGCAGCACCTGGCTGGCGTGGCTCAGCAGTTGATCATCAACCTATGGTCCAGGAGATTGCAGTTCAATTCCCTGTAAGGGGCATGCAGGAGGCAGCCAATCAATGACTCTCTCATCATTGATGTTTCTCTCTCTCTCTCCCTCTCCCTTCTTCCTCTCTCTGAAATCAATAAAATATATAAAACAAAAATAAAAAATAAAACGTAAGCGGGAATTAGGGTTTAGGAAGGGAAAAGCAGAGTCACTCAAGTGGTCAGTTTTCTAGGTTACCCAAGACTTTCTAAATGGGGAACTTCATGGGTTGGAGTAACCTGGCTTCTTATCTAGGTGTTTTACTAGTAGCTGTGTCATTCAGTTGGCAATGTTTGTCCAAGATGGATGTCTTTGAAATGGATGCCTCAGCAATCAAAAGCTTAATGTCAGGCACTTACATGACAGCCTTAGCCACTGCATAACCTTGGCCCCCAAAAGTTCCCTGAGGGAGGGGTCTATCTTGTTGACCACTGATCTATTTCCAATTCCTAGAACAGGGAGGGCTTGGCAAATAGTAGGCCCTCAATAACTATTTGTTAAAGAAATGAGTGCTAACTTAGTTGGCAGTCCTGTTGGAAAAAAGAGAAAATGAATAAGACTTGACTGTAAAACTAGTATAAAAGCAAGAAAAGAAGTAACTCCTTAAAACAAGAGGAAATTTTACAACATATGTATGAACTCATGAAAGACTGCTGTACTAACAATGAAATAACCAACACTGCCCTCTAGTCTTTGTGGTTCTAACCAGAAGTCATACAGAATCATAAAAACTTGCAGGCCTAGCACCCAGGATGTGGAGACCTTTGTGCTTTTCTTCATGAAAGAGAACTACTTCTAGCCCAGGGAATTGGAGGTGGGTAGGAAACTCTAGATTTCGTAGCAATGGGCATGAAGGCCCTAGAAATCTCTGATATTTTCAGAAATGCTCTGAAATGGTATAGAAGACTACCGGAGAAGAGGACTGGCATTAGTAGGCATGGTTTAGCAGTTGACAAAAGCCAGATAGCAACAAGTCAGCCGGGAGATGCTTACTCATTTAGTCCATAGTTACACTGAAGAAGAAACTCAATCTGAAGGATCTAATGACAAGTATAAAAATCATAAGCACCATATGCTAGGAGTTGAATTCAAAGTCCAAGCTAATAATCACATTTTTAAAAATTTGCAATAACTGCAAATCTGTCCCAGCTCCTGGGTTGAACTGCTTCTATATGTTTCATTCTTAAAATGGTTCTGGTATATATTTATCATGATAAAAGTGTTATTGTATATATAAATATAAGGTAGATTGTTACAAAGTGTTTGGGCAGATAATTAAATTTATGTATATGCTATAGTGACAGTCCAGAATAATTAGACTAAACTTATAATGATGACCACAATTAAAATCAGAAAATTTGCTAATATTGATTTTATAATTATCAGTAGAAAGAATGACATTTCCTCCAAGGAATAGTGAGAAAACACATTCAGAAGTCTACTTTGGTCTAATTCCAAAAAAAAAAAAAGGCTTTCAGAGTGATAATGACTATATACTTGTATAGTGATGAACTGTTACTTATGTGACTGTGAATGAGGTGATTCAACTGCAGATCTTACGAGCTCCTATTAATACTACCTTTTTTTGGCTTGAAGTCTTCCTGTTCCTTCCCTGTGTCTGTGACAGCTCCAGTGAAATGACGTACGTGAGCTTTCTGTTGGACTCTTTCTGCTGTCTTTTCGCTCCCCAAGGCCACGTTTATAGATCGCCCATTAGTCTCAATGAAGCCAGCAACACATGCTCCCCCAGCTGTGACGACCCGTCTGTCCTGTCAACAGCAAGCTTTGCCATTTATTTTGTCATCAAAGAAATGGACTCCTGGTTCTTTTTGAATCACAACTTGGAACTTTCATACTTTGAACTTTTAACAACAACTCCTTTGATAGTCACTAAATTCAAGTGCTGGCCTCTGTGTTTGTTTAGGTAAAATGAGAGCTTTACTGTTTCTTTGGCTGGATGCTAGCCCAGGAAACAATTAGCTGGGCTCCGGGCCACAGCTTGAAGGGACAGAGATTTTATCTTTCACAAATGGATATTTGCCCAACTTAATCACTGTTGTCTATGGACGTACTTCCATGTTTCATTATAGATTTTCGTTTCATCTAGCATACTCTTAATATTCAAAACTGAGGAGTACTTTTTTCTCTCAAAATATTTAGAGGACAAACATCCCACTGGCTTTTCCTCATGACAAACCTCAGACAGGTCCAGTCTAACCTACTAACACTAACCCCACACTGACAAGCATTAGAGTCTCATGTTCAAAATAAGAATGGGTAGGCATTTTCTTTAGTCTTCTAAGGCTGCATTTGTATTAATATTTTTTTAAAGTAAAATTTGAATATAGTCTGTGGCATGGGATTTGATATACAAGGGGACAAAAAAAGTTTGCAGATCGATCTGTTCTTGTGAAGATTGGTCCTGAACAGAACATAGATTGCTTTAGACAATGTATCCAGTGTCTCGAATGACAGAATTGAGAATGACTGTGCGTTGATGCCGACACCCCTTACAGGGTGTCCCTGGCCCAGAGGACATGGGATCTAATCAAAATCTTGTAAGGAGGAGCCACCTACTGATGGAGAGCAGAGAAGCCACCTGAGACATTGAGGAAAAGGGCATGTCTCTTAGAGATCAGTATAGATACAACTTTCTATCTGATACATACATTTACTAGGGTTCAAGAAAATGCACTTTGCTGTGCTTGATGTATGTCTATTGTGATGCCCTGAGCACTAGACCTAGGAATCAGAGATACAACTGTTTCATCAGTAGAAATGAGTTATTTGTTCCTCTCCTATAAGTCACCTGGGTGAATAAATGGAAACAAACAGTGATTTCACCCAGGTTCTTAAAATGAACATTTATTTGGCGGGTGAGAGAGAGTAGTTAACAAGAAATCAGTGACAATATCTGTCTTTCCCCAACACTTTTGTCCCATAGTCATGTCAGCCTTTCTTCTCCAGGTTGTATGGGACTAGCAATGCACGTGCTGGAAGTAGCACTTCTTGGATTGTGGCTTGGCTGCTGTTGAGTCCCCCACAAATGCTCTTGTTGTGGAGAAAGTGGAGGTGCAGAACTTGATCTCATCTGCCACTCAGATATGCAGATTACAGTACATTAATTAAAATAACCCCAGCCTATGGCTTGTTCGTCTTTTACTAGTCCATTGCTGTACTTCTTTGTCAAAAATAAGGCCCTGTTCCTTATAGCTCCATGTTCCTGAGGTTGCTGCGTAAGTATGGACTTGCTCCTAGTTACTTACTCAGCCCCTAAGGCCCACTTATTAGAAACAAGGCTTCTCATAAATTGGCTCAATCAGTTTAGCTTACTTACTAAAGAAAAGTTTAGTAACACTAAAAACTAAATAATGTTTATTTGTTATCTTATAAAGAGTACAAGATTATCAAATAATCTTTAAGTCATTTACATGAAAGACTATCAAACAAACTCAATATCTAAATCTAAATGTATTCAGCTTGATTCGTATGTTACCTTATGCCAAGGCAAGATAGTTACAGTGACAATCTTTGGTAAAATACTAAGTTAGTGTCCAAAATAACATAATGTACATTTTATTTATAAAATGTTAATTACTTAGTAAAATAGACATTATTATCAATATCATTATTGTTATTGATACACAGAAGTACCACATAGCCTAGACATGCTTGCAGTTTAGTTTATTACATGTGATGTAGGAGGATGGGGGAAATGTAAATTCTAACATCATTCCCAGCTCTGAGGAACAGCCCTAGAGGAGTGCCCTTGCCTATGGCTCCATTAGTATTAATTTACAGCGCACATATTTACCACCATTTAATTGCAGCTTTTTCTTTGTTTACTCTAACACAATTTGAAGAACACATCAAAGGTAAACCACAAAAAAGAATTCTTCATTTTTAAAGAATTGCATTATCTATACATGTAGAGCATCTGTACAATATATTATAATCCATACCATCATATTTAAAATTTTATAGTGCACTTTCCCACCCTTAACCTTAATTAAAATATGTTGCTGCCTTATCTGAATGTAGATTATTAGTAAAAACAGCACTATATATATATGTGTGTGTATATATATATATACACACACACACATATTTATGCACATCCAAAATTTATACAGTGGTGTTTTGTTATAAATTTTGCTTTCAATGCCTTTTCTATTGACCTGTTTCTATTTGTTTCTCAAAAACTCTACAGATTACAACAAAATGTATGTGCACAGACACAAACATAATCATTTTCAAAATATAATTTGTTACTATAATCTTTTTATAGTAACAATTTGAGTGTGATTTCGAATTAAGGGATAATTCTATATATTTTAAGTCTGTTACATAACATGGTCAAAATATCAATTTCTGCCACTCTGAAAATGTGTTTGTATATCCTGTAATTTAGCAATATTAATGAGTGTCTACATACATAAAAAATATTTATGAATGGGAGTTTCAGATTAAGGTTAGCATTATAAACATGTGTTTCCAGTTTCTACTTAAATATTATTTTATTTTGCACTACAAATATTATTCTCATTCTTAAGCATCTCATTCTCTTGTAGTCAGCAACACCTTTACTACAAAAATGCAGTACTTTTTCATTCAATAAAAAGACCTTTAAAGCTATGAGGTCATGTTGTTCCCATGTATGAACTTAATTGCTCAATTAACATTTTTATCAACATTTTATAGATCTTCTGCCTACTCAAGTTTTTAATTCATCTTGATTTCTAAAGAACTGCATGCTTCTTCTCACTTATGAGTTGCAATTACATACATCTCTTGCATATAAAATTAAATAATTTTAGACTCTCTTTGAAGGAATATTTAAGATTTTAAAATATTGGTAAGCCAATGTTTTAAACAAAAATTATTACTTTTAAAATTATATTGGCTGGCCATGTGTGAATTATCATCAAAGTAACCTGTTCTAAGGGAAAATTCAATTATGTGTGACAACACTTAATGGCACCCAATAGAAAAAAACAACTGTGGATGTGAAAATCGACCCTCAAATTCTCCTCGTTAAGCTATTATCTTTGAAAAGACTCTGGAAAGTCTGTCTGGAAAGCTGTAACAGATTTTCTCTTTTCAAAGAGTTTTCAAGGTGCCACAGTACCTTCAAGGCCGTCTGTTTTAGCTTGCTGTTTCCCAGAATCAAAAGAACTGAGTGGCCTGAGGGAAAGATGTAGGCTGCTAACATGGCAAATTTTGCACTCTTGTTGTTTGGAAATACAAGAAGTATCCAATTTGCCATTTGTGTGCAAAAAAAATGAACTATGAAGAGGAAGAGGAAAGACATCACTATTTTTATGGCCCTTTTATGGGCCTCTGTGCTGGGGTCCCTTGAGCCGATGGAGCTGAGCTGCAAATTTCTGATGTGTCTGACCAAGGACAAAAATAAAAGGAGCAGTGAGATCAGGGACAGAACAACAGGAAACAGACAGGTCAAGGTAAGAGGAACCATGGTTTCAAAATAGAGAGCTTTTCTTCTGTCTGTATATGAAGTCAGATTACTGTCACCTTGTAAATAGTTATCTAAGTAGAGATCATTAAAGTTTTCTAGCAGTAGAATGTCAAAAACCAGAAAAGACAAAGAAAAGACAAGGATGGCAAGAATGACTCTGCTCATTCTCCAGTTCAGCCACAGGAACAGGGAGTGCGAGAAGTGCGCTATCTTAAGGAGGTAGAAGATGCTCAGGCAGGTAGAGAGCCAGGTGTTCAAGTGGTTTGTTATTCTCCAAAGTAAAGTGATAGATTTTGCTAGTTTATAAGTGGGAAGGAAAAGTGGAGATAGTCCCATTATAAGCGATTCAAGCAATGATACCAACAGCTGAGTGATTCTGGAGATAGCCAAGCCGGTGAAGATGAAGTCCACTAAAGAGAAGTGTCGGCTCTTGACCCATTCAGAGCAGTGTATCAGTCCAATGAACACATTCCCCAGCATTCCGACCACGAATTCCACTGCTGACAGTAGCAGAAAGATTATATCCGATCCGGGGAGCATTTCCACAGGGGGAAAAAAAAAATCCAAATTTTTAATCCTATGTATCAGTGATAAATTTATAATCAAACTGTTGCAGAATGGCATCCATTTGCGATACTTCTCTTCATTGCTTCTGTTTGCAATGCCAGTCTTAAGAAGAACCTCCTGCTGTTGGATACAGTCTCATATATACTCCAGGAAATCTTTCTGCTTTCCTTGTAATTCCAGTCTTAATCCAGAAACATCTGCTAAAATGTATACAGTCTCACATACTTTCATGAAAATGTTTTTTATTTCTTTGAAAGAGCTACTAATTGCCAAACTGAACAGTTTGCGTGTCCATTTATCATTGGCACGAACGGAAGCTTTCCTCTCATGGTAATGACTAAAAGGTTAACAAACATGTTAGCATGCAAATGTTGGTCAGATTCTTTTTCATAGATTTGTACTTTACTTCTCACCTGAAATGCTGTACCATTTGGATCCAAATATTTTAGTTGTTTTTCAAAGAAAGCTCTAGATAGAGGTCATCTAAATAATTTAGTTACTATTCAATAAATACATTTTGTGAGTGCCTGTTAGTCATCGGATGTTTTTCCAAATGCAGTATAGGTTCCTGCAAAAAAAAAAAAAAAAAAGCAAGCTTTAGGAAATCCATAAAATAGTTAAAACACAGAAATAAACAATGAGCTAAAATGTGACCACAGAAAAGGGCACTGCAAACATTACTGTCAGGGAGAGAAAGGGTGTGATATTCACCTTAGATTTTGAAGGCACTTAGAATTTCATGAGGCCACTGACAAGTCATATTTTGGACTGATCAAATAATATACAAAAACACACCAAAACCCAAACTACTTTTCTGAAATTAAAGTCCTCTAACTGATAATTTACCATAATTTCAATCTAAATGGTCCTCAGGTATCTCAGAGTAACGTCTTCACAATTAAACGTATCCCCCAGTTTTGATCTTTACCTTTGTACTTGTTCTGTTTGCTCTGGCCAGAGGCATAATGCTGTCACTTTAGCCTTAATAGACAGAAAATAGGTAGAAAATAATTTCAGATAAAATAAGGAAATAGAAAACAAAAGTATCTGTTCTACATTCTAGGAACAATGATGTTGACAAAAGCCATTGATGCCTGGACATGAACTCAGAGTTAGAGACTCTGCGTCTTGGTGTGTCAGCAAACAAATATTCTACTGTTAGCATTAAGCATTCAGGTGTTGGGAAACACCATCCAAAATAGAAGAATGAAATGATCAAAAACTTGGTCCTTTTTGCCTTTTCTGTCACACTCCTCAATTAAATTCTATTAATTTTAGAAGTGCACATTTCAAGAACAATTATGTGTAATGAACTACTGGTAAATTATTTCACATAAACAAAATTGTTTTAATTTAGGACAAATGTTTGAAATTACAGGAAGAAAATAAAAAGGGAAGGAAGGAATTTTTTAGGACCAGGCTGATGAAATAAATTTGGTAGTATTTTTGAGAGGAAAATGATAGCTTTGACTACATTAATGTCTAGAGGTGGAGAGAAATTCATGGCAATGAGAAGCATTTAGGAGGTAGAATCAGTGAGACTTGGTGGTGGATTTGAGGGCTATGGAAAAGTAGAGATGCCAGCGATGACAGGCTGCTTTTGCACCTGGATGCAGGAGTACTGTAACCTGAGGGACTCGCTGGGGAGAGAGCAGGTTTAGAAGCCAGCGGGTAGGAGAAAGAAGAATAGTTGGGCGATGGTCAGTTCTGTTTCAAACATTTTGGAACATCTGTAATCATCCGTGTGAAAAGATGGGTGAGGCACTTGGGTTTTAACTTGGAGCAAAGATGTGGTGGTCATCAGGACATACTTGATTTTATAAGAGGTGATGAGCTCTGAGGGCCCTGAGGAACACCAGCAGATGGAGAAGCCAAAGAAGAGACTGAAGAGCAGTCAGATGGAGGAGGGAAACCAAGAGACAAGGGTTTCCAAGAAACCAAGAGCAAGGAGTGGTACAAAGAGAGAGTAATCAATGCTCGCTAATATTAATAAAAGGGCACTTACAAGGAGGTACTAAGGAGCCCTTTGTTCACATTGCAAGAGCAGTTTAACCGAATCAAGCCAAACTGCCATAGATTACATAGTAAATGAGATCCCAATGATGGTGCATTAGAAAACCAATTCTGTAATGTAACAACACATTAACAGATTAAAGGAGAAACACCACCTGAGCCGGTTTGGCTCCGTGGTTAGAGCACTGGCCCTCAGATTGAAGGGCCCCTGGTTTGATTCCAGTCAAGGGCATGTTGTCTCTCTCACATCAATGTTTCTCTGTCTCTCTCCCCCCGTTCCCCTCTCTCTGAAAAGCAATGGAAAAATATCCCTGGTGAGGATTAAAAAATAAAATAAACAAGAAAACACCAGGGGGAAAGAAATTTGATACAATTTTACATCTATTCATAATAAATGTTCTTACCAAACTGAGAATAGAATGAAATATTCTTTTTCCTGATGAAAAGTTGTCTTCAAAAACCTAGAGCAAATATTATACCTATCTATGATACATTTAAATTAGTCCTCTTGAGTTTGGGGAAAAATAAGTCCTAAACATGCTATTTTTTTTTTTTGGATATTTTCACCAGTAAGTCAAGAAAATGACATAGAAGATATAAGATTGTAAAACACAAAACAAAGCTGTCATTCACAGATTATGATTGAGATTACATAAAATATCCAAAAGTATTCTTACATACATTAAAAAATTATCATTTAGCAAGATTTCTATACACAAAATAAATGTTCAAAAATCTCATTTCTTACAGCTAAAATGAAATATTCTTTTAAGAGATGAAATTAACATAACCTCAACAAATATTAACGTATCTGAGAATGAATCACACACAGAAAGTATGCAAAATGTTTATAGAGAATATTAAAAAGTCTGAAATAGCCTTAGCAGTTTTTCGTTATATGATTAAAGTTGTATGATTAGTTACTTGATTAGCTTGTAATTAATACATACTGAATATAGTCAAACCCTCTAGATTTTTAAAAAATCTAAACCACTGTCAAACACATCTTCCCATTTTTTTAATTTTATTTTTTAAATATATCTTTATTGATGTCAGAGAGAGGAAGGGAGAGGGAGAGAGAGAGAAACATCAATGATGAGAGAGTCATTGATCAGCTGCCTCCTGCACGCCCCCTGGTGGGGCTCCAGCCCTCAACTGCACCTCAGCCTCCTGGATCCCAGGTTGATGCTCAGCTGCTGAGCCAGCCCGGCCGGGCCATTTTCCCATTTTAGGTATGTTTTCCAAAGACATTAAATTCTCTGACTGAGTTGTTGAATACAATAAATGTTCCTACTTGGTATCTAGCTCATGGATTTCCCTCAAGTCTAAAAGCAACCACTTGTAATATAATATTGGCCACCCCTATCTCCAGGGATACCAGCCCTGTTCCTTTCACCTAGACCTGTCACTTGCTATTTTTTTCCTTCTTACCATAGGTGTAGGCTCCAAGTTTCCATGTTAGGCAATAGATGACAAGATAGTCTCTTATTTGCTAATATGCAAGGACAGACTGATATTCTATCACTCTTTTTGCATCTTCTTTGCCTGACAAATTTGTGCCTGTATCTTTACCTGTGGAAGGTAATCAAAGCTAGAATTTGCAGATTGTAAATTTTAGAAGTCAACCTAAATATATCTTCACCCAAACATGTAGAAAAACGGTGATCAGAAGATGGTCCAGTATAAGAACAAGGTCCATGGCATGCCCTAAAATCAGCCATAAAGTAGTTACTTCACCATTGACAAATGTACCCAATTGCACCGATCTACAGTTGTTAATCGGGAGAGTCTGTATCTGAAGCATCACTGGAGTCAAGGTCTAAAATATGTACACCACTGTCTCATCTATAAGCCTGAGAACTGAACCCCAAAGGAAATGTAGTTTGTCAGAACTTAACATTCTTATGTTAGCATAAAGGGCGTTTGTGCTCATTGGAATGAAAGTGACTGATATGTATGCCCACTTGTTCAGGTATGTCATTTTTTAAATATTAGAATGATTTTTAGAAGTGAGTCAAGAAATTAGTTGAGAAGAACTCAGACAATATCTGGTGGGGAAATTATAAACAGTTTTAGTCATCTATTTTACTAATTGTAAAAAATTATCACTGCACCAGTAAAAATAATAGGTGACTCATAGAACTGTTACTATAGGTATGGGTAAAATGATACATTTGCATTTGTGCACATATTTACTTAAGAACATATGTAAGAATATTTATAGTAGTGTTCATACTGTAAAGCAAGGTATAAAAAAATACCTTGAATAAAAAAATTCAGTTAAGTGGGACGTAGATGAATCCCACAAACACACATACACAGAAGTTTACAGGTCCATTTTTTATAAAGAGGTAGGACTATATTTTTTATAAAGAGGTTGGTGTCAGCAATCAGGATAGTGATTATCTTTGAGAAGCTGGGAGGGGACAGTGATTAGGAAGGGACATCAAGTGAGCTTTTGGAGTCCTGGTGAAGTTCTGTTTCTCTTTTGTAAAACAGCTATAACAACACTACTCTGAAGGTTTGTTCTGATGATTAAATGAGATCATGTATAAAAATGCCTAGCACTGACTGAGTGCCCAACAATAGGTCCAAACCTTGTTTTCAAGAGTCCTTGTTCTGAATGAATTTTCCAAGCAAGTGCTGATAAATTTTTTTTAAATCTCCTATACCCAGAATATAATTTTATACTCTTTAGTCATACTTGTAAATAAAATTTTAAAAATTCTATTTATGGTTGTCAAAGCTTGGCGAGGATAAAAAAAAAAAAAAAAAAA